GAGACCTTCAACAGGTTATGTTACTAAACAATAGATCAAAAGTACTTTCTAGCATTTTCATTACGATCGATAAATTGCAGGATTTTGAGTTTTTCTCGAGATGCCTTCAAACATAACATATATTGAAAATAGCTTGGCTCGATAGATCAGCAATTTTTGCATCGAATACACTATTTTGGAGACCTTCAACAGGTTATGTTACTAAACACTAGATCAAAAATACTTTAAAGCATTTCCACAATCTTCGACAAACTAGAAGATTTTGAGTTTTTGTCAAGTTTTCTTCAAAGATAACACATATGGAAAACAGCTTGGTTCGATAGACAAGGAAATACTGCACCGAATAAACAGTTTTATAGATTTTTACATTTTGAGATTACTAAACACTCGATCAGAAAACTTTAAAACATTTTCACCATGATCGACATATCACCCGATTTTGAGAATGGTTCGATAGACCGAGAAATTCTGCATCGAATAGACTATTTCGCAGATTTTTACAAGATGACATTAGTTAACAGGAGATCAAAAATGCTTTAAAGCATTTCCACAATGATCGATAAGCAACAAGATTTTGAGTTTTTCTCAAGATGCCTTCAAACATAACACATATTGAAAATAGCTTGGTTCGATAGATCAGCAACTTTTGCATCGAATACACTATTTTGGAGACCTTCAACAGGTTATGTTACTAAACACTAGATGAAAAATACTTTAAAGCATTTTCATTACGATCGATAAATTGCAGGATTTTGAGTTTTTCTCGAGATGCCTTCAAACATAACATATATTGAAAATAGCTTGGCTCGATAGATCAGCAATTTTTGCATCGAATACACTATTTTGGAGACCTTCAACAGGTTATGTTACTAAACAATAGATCAAAAGTACTTTAAAGCATTTCGACAATGATCGATAAACCACAAGATATTAATAAGATTCTCATAAGATTTATTAATAAATAAATAAGAATAAATCTTATGAGAATCTTATTAATATCTTGTGGTTTATCGATCATTGTCGAAATGCTTTAAAGTACTTTTGATCTATTGTTTAGTAACATAACCTGTTGAAGGTCTCCAAAATAGTCTATTCAATGCAGAGTTTCCTTTTCTGCGTGTTTTAGAGACTTCTACCATGTGACATCAGTGACAGGACCATCTGATATACACTTGCTCTAGTGTGGTAAAGACACACTACGTTTGGCTGATCGAACTGGTCAAAAGACAAACACACTTCGGTGGAATGGAGTAGGTATCGGGGATATCTACTGGTCAGCACGACAGTCAGATGACCAGATGACCGATCTGGCGACAGATTCCTGATATTGACTCCAACAACTCTTGATTTATTGAATGTCCAAACAAGTAAAGTGACGCAAATTAAACAAGTGTCAGACAAGAAGAGAGCAGGCTTTTGCAGCTGTACATGTTCAAATCAAACATTGTTGGTGGGTACTTGGGAGAAGGGATCAGTTGTTGAAGAGTGGGATATGTTCTTGTCAAGAAACGACGAGTTTTACAAACATCGGGTATTCCAGGAGAAGAGATGAAGTTGCATCCGAAATGGGTGGTTTGTTAAAAATGCGAAATATGCCGTCTCTTGTGTTCATCGCTGTTCTTTATGGACAAATTTATCTCAATTAAATCTTGTGTCTTACATAAGAATAAAGATAGATCCATTAACGTGTTTGTTGCACATATGTTCTCTTTTTTGTCGTTGAAATCGAAGAATTTGCTCAAACAACAGCTACGCATTTTAATCATTTAACATAACGAGGTATCCAGTACTGAGCCATGAAATGTGCTCATGTCCTAGTTGTGACATTGTGTTTTGTCGTACTTCCAATTGACTAAAACAATATAATATACTACCTTTTTCTACCATAAATTATCGACTTAGTGATCTTACACTGATTCACATTAATCATTCACAAGTAACACAATTAGATGTTGAACAAATAGTCAACGTATTTTGTGCAGACGTACAACGTATAAACTCACAAAAGATTAACGGATATAGTACTAATTATTGTTAGATCTTTCTTTTCAAATATTTTTTCAGAATCAAGGGTGTTTTAGAGAAAGACAAACACACTTCGGTGGAATGGAGTAGGTATCTGGGATATCTACTGGTCATCACGTCAATCAGAATTTAACAAACCACCCATTTCGGATGAAACTTGATCTCTTCTCCTGCAATACCCGATGTTTCTTCAAATGAACTTCATCTCCGCTCCTCGAAAACTTCATGTTTCTTTCCAAGACCTACATTTCTTCTTCTTGAAAACTCGCTGTTTCTTTACAAGAACTTCATCTATTCTCCTAGAATACCACATGTTTCTTCATAAGAACTTCATCTCTTCTTGTGGATACCACATGTTTGTTCACCAGAACTTCATCTCTTTTCCTGGAATGCCCACCGTTTCTTCAGAAGAACTTCATCTCTTCTCCTGGAATGCCCGTCGTTTCTTCACAAGAACCGCATCTCTTCTCGTGGATACGAGATGTTTCTTCACAAGAACTTAACCTCTTCTCCTGGAAAACTCGGTGTTTCTTCACAAGAACTTCAGATATTCTAATTGTTCTTGTGACAAAACATCAGTTTATTATTGAAATATCGAGGATAGTTTGTCTAAAAAGAAATCATCAAATTTTAATAGTGATAATTATATACGTGCTTGTAAAATCAGCATCATAAATCATGAAAACACAGTTAATTGTCAGGTGTTCGAATAACAAGACATCTTTGTCCAATTAGGGTTGTTCTGTTCACACCCTTATTGAACGTGAAAGTTTATTCTAATTTACCATCTCTGTTAATCAAATGAAGTTGCTTATTCTCCGCCTCATGTGTCAGCCATTGTCCATTTGGAAGAGAGAATAATATATCCGCTTATCGATGAAGGAAATGTGATGTTGTTGAGGATGTTCATTGATCGATCTCGTACAGGAAACTGATTGTATTGATCAGGGACCCTCACTATCACTCCTATACGACTCTCATCACATGAAGATCGAATATCCATAATCCACACATTCTGTTGACAGGACAAGACTCGCCGTTGACTATTTGTAAAACTCGCCGTTTCTTGACAAGAACATCATGTTTTCTCTTCAAGAAACTGATGTTTCATCACAGGTAGTTCATTTTTTCCCCTCGAAAAGTCGGTATTTCTTCACAAGAACCTCATCTCTTTTCCTGGAATGCCCACCGTTTCTTCAGAAGAACTTCATCTCTTCTCCTAGAATACCACATGTTTCTTCACAAGAACTTCATCTCTTTTCCTGGAATGCCGGCTTAAAAGGTAGCATGTTAAATGATTAATTATTATTGTTAGATCTTTCTTTTCAAATATTTTTTCAGTATTTTGCTTCACAAGAACTTCATCTTTCCTCGTCAACAAATCGGAGAAGAGGTGAAGTTCTTGTGAAGAAACGGCGGGCATTCCAGGGGAAGAGATGAAGTTGATTTGAAGAAACACCGAGTTTTCCAGGGGAAAAAATGAACTATCTGTGATGAAACAACGATTTCTTGACGAGAAAATATGAAGTTCTTGTAAAGAAACAGCGAGTTTTCAAGGAGAAGAGATGTAGTCCTTGGGAAGAAACATGAAGTTTTCCAGGAGAGGAGATAAAGTTCATTTGAACTTTATCCCTCGTTATGTTAATCATTTAACATAACGAGGTATCCAGTACTGAGCCATGAAATGTGCTCATGTCCTAGTTGTGACATTGTGTTTTGTCGTACTTCCAATTGACTAAAACAATATAATATACTACCTTTTTCTACCATAAATTATCGACTTAGTGATCTTACACTGATTCACATTAATCATTCACAAGTAACACAATTAGATGTTGAACAAATAGTCAACGTATTTTGTGGAGACGTACAACGTATAAACTCACAAAAGATTAACGGATATAGTACTAATTATTGTTAGATCTTTCTTTTCAAATACTTTTTCAGTATAGTCAGAACAACAGCCGACTCATAGAACAAGTATAAACAGGTTTCCTACGTATCTAAATAGGTTTTATATTTATCTACGAAACCTTCTTGCATCCCACAAACTAAATATAAAATCTTTCCGACTTTCGTACATTGGGCACAAAACTTTTTGATCTAGGAAGCTCCTAGAGATTCAGTAAATAAACGCGGAATCATTAAAAGTTCAGAAATGTTTGGTGAAACCTTTAAGGAATCATCGTAGGGAACCATGTTTTATTTTTAGAAAGTGGGGATAGCGGTGACGAAGAAGAAGTGACTTTTACGAACTGAAATCGTTAGAAACATATGGTGAGAACCACTTGGATATAGGCCATTAATAGTGATAGAATTAAGTCTGTGGAGGAGAGTTTGATAGTTAACCTTCTCGAAGGTTAATATCTGCATATTCAACGGTAAAAAGTAAAACTGGGCCATAAAGTTTACGAAAGATCCCATACCACCAAAATCAGTCCTAACAGGGCAAAACGAAAATAAGCACTTAGGGGCTTTCATGAAAAAATGTCGTAGAGAGCTCGGAAACGTCTCATTTTGTTCACATATGTTTGCTCTACATGATGAAGTTATTTTAAGATCCATACACGACTGTAGTTTGTTGTGGTTGCCTTATCTCAAGGTTAGGGTGAGATAACGAAATGCTGTCTTGCACATATAGTAAAAACATCTGCCTATTGAACATCCCAATTGGACACTCACGTGTTGCATGTTGAACACAAAAGCCGTGAAATGGCTCGTTTTTCTGTACTAGGCTTCTTTGCAAGAGATACGTTCAAATCAACAATGAGTGTAACGCTAAAGTATAATGAGCTTGTTTGGATTAGAGACAACAACATATATCATCAAAACAGAAAAAAAGACGTTTAAAAAAGCTTTTGCTCGATTGGCGTATGATAATATAAAAGTTATTTAATCCATCTATCTAATATTTATTTTCCAGTTTTTATCTCCATACATTCATCCGGTCTGAGTGTTTTTTTGATACATATATTAGGTTTACAGCATGGAACCATATTAAATTTGCACATAACACAATCTTTCTGCGCCGTAGACGGTGAAGCACGTTTTAATAAATAATTGGCCAAATCATCAGCATCATTATCATCACTATCATCTAAAAATGATCGTGCTTTTGAATTTGATATTTCAAAATTATCATCGTTAGCGACACGTCGTGCTTGAATTGTAACTAGCATGACACTACCCAACACTAAGCAAAACATCACAATGAAACTTGAGTGCATGTTTGATTTTCTATGGATCTAAAACAAAAGTTGCCACAATATGCAATCAACTTGATGACAAATCACAATCAAATGCTTTTAAAAACTGATTCATATCATGTGATTCGAAAGAATCAGCCTTCATTAAACATGAGTCGATACTTCCAGTTCAATAAACACCCTAAGTGTTTTGGACCGACTATAGTCGACCAAATGTGAATTTTATCCGCTTTAAGAACATACAGTATCAACATACAGTAACATTCAACAGTTTTATATATAGTTTTTTATTTTAGTTAACACTAAATAATTCGTCGTTTATTACTTAATTGTCTCTGTAAATGTAAACAACGTTAAAATAAATTTCCTTAAGTTTTCTCAATTCTAAGTCTAAGAAATTTGTTTTCTACAGATGTTTATGGGAAAACACAGCTACAGATAGCTCAATGGTTACTTTTAATGTAATGCATTTCTACTACTGATCTATCAGTTTCAATTATGCAAGCATCGAACAGAGGATAGCAGTCAGTAACCAACAGAAGGCACTTTCGCTCGAAAAAAAAATGTTACTTATCTAATACTCCAGTTCTGACAGAGGCGAAGAAAAACGTTATAATTTATCGTGAAACTAATTATATGTGTCTTACTTTTAATTTGAACAGTTGAGCGTTAGTGTGTTTGTATGATGGATGCTACGAAAAAATAATGCCGGTTTAACAGTAAACGTAAGTATTTTATATATACCTTCCAGATATTAAAATCAAATATACTCCACACACTTTTTTCTCATCATTATTCATCGAAAAAGATAAAAGATCAGTTCAAGGGTTGATCATTCATAAAAAGTAAAGAATTTGGATAAGAATTACCAAACACTGATAGTTCAGATTAGTCAACATTATTCATACAGTGTTCATAATTCGATTGAAATTTTAACCTTTTTTCAAGATATAAAATAACTTAATAAATTTCAACTGACACATCTATTAAATATTGTTGTGAAACAGATAAGACTAAATATTTATGTCCACATAAGCATCGACAAAAAAAGGACTAAAATAATCTTATGCATACAAATTAAACCCTGTGTAAATCGTATCAATAACAGAAAAGATTAATGTGTATAACAATCTCATTACAAGAGTGAAATCTATACTCCTCATGTAAATAATCAAGCCGTATATTTTAAGCCATATTCAGTACGAAGAAGAAATCCCCAAAAGCGGTATGAGTAGGAATGCGTCGGTGATTTTTTCGTATTTTTCAAAAATTCACAACAAATGTTTTGTATTTTCATAAAAATGATTTGCAACATTTTTCTAAAACGGCAGTTTTGTAGAGAAAACATTTCTCTCCAAGATGATATATAATAGTTAATTTTAAAGGTTTTGGGTTTCTTTAAAAAGCGTTTTTGATAGAGAGGCGTATCGGTTAATA